TTTTTTCTGAGACAGAGTCTCACTTTGTTGCCCTCTATAGAGTGCTGTGATTTGATAGCTCACAGCAACCTCAAATTCTTGTGCTCAAGCAATCCTCTTACCTCAGCCTCCCAAGTAGCTGAGACTACAGGCACCTGCCACAATGCTTGGCTATTTTTAGAGACAAGGTCTTGCTCTTGCTCAGGCTGGTCTCCAGCCTGTGAGCTCAGGCAATCCATCCACCCTGACCTCCCAGAGTGCTAGGATTACAGACATGAGCCACCAAGCCTGGCAGTAATTTATGTTTATTGTAGAATAATATTCCATTATATGGATAGTCCACATCTTTCTTATCCTGTAAAAAGATTATAGGACCTCCTCCCCAAATCCTTATGCAAGAAAAGGTAAAGGCCTCAGGAAACTGAAGAGCTGGCACTACAGACCATTAAGGAAATTCCTTGCTGGATTCCTACAAGCAAGGTCATGCAAATTATAACTTCAGGTCTGTAGATTACATGTATCTGCTAAAACTAAAGTAAGTTTGATTTCACACTAATAATGAATTGCAAGTTTACCTTTACAGGTGCAGAACAGAATAGGGATCAGACAGTCTTCTAACCTAGGGACTTCTCCATAATTGACACTTCACTCCCTTGGCTTTCCTCATTCACCCTATTTTATGTAAAATATAAATTTTTCTGGGCCACACAAGAGTGTAACCATTTTGTCTCAGTATCTACCCATCCCCCAGCTTTTTATCTTCGTGCCTTTAAATGCTGAAACTTCCAAATTCCCCTCTGAAAGATAGCTTCAGTTTTGCCTACAGTTTCTGTTTTTCCCAAGTGTGTCAAGTTTGGCTTAATAAACCTCCACTGATTGAGATTTTTGTCTCATTCAATTATTTGGGCAGACCATCCATCTGTTGATAGATATTTATGTTGTTTTATGTCTTTTTTTATGATAGATAATATCGCTATGAACATATATTTAAAATTTTGTGTGTAGAAATATGTTTTTAATTCTCTTGGGTGTATACCTAGAAGTGAAATTACTGGGTCATAAATTAACTCTTCTTTAACAATCCGAGGAATTGCCAGACTTTTCCAAGTCATTAGCACTGCTTTATATTCCCATTGACGGTATATAAGAGTTCCAATTTGTCCATATTCTTGTTATGTCTTTTTGAGTATAGGCATCCTAATGGGTATGAAGTGGTATCATGGTGGTTTTGATTTGCCCTTCCCCCAAATTGATGTTCAGCATCTTTTCATGTGCTTATTGGCCGGCCATTTTTCTGTCTTCTTTAGAGCAATGTCTATCAGAGCTTTGGGCTGTTTTTAAATTGTTTTTAAAAAAAATTATCATTAAGGTATAGTAGTTCTTTATTCTAGATACAAGTCTCCTGTCAGACACATGATTTGCAAATATTTTCCTGCCATTCTGTGGGTTGGTTTTTTCATTTTCTTGGTGGTGTCCTTTGTAGCACATATGTTTTTTAATTTTAATAAAGTCCAACTTATCCATATTTTTATTTCTTGTGTGTTTGTTGTTATATTTAAGATAACACTGAAGAATTTTTACACTACTGTAATAATCATGAAAAAACAGGATGGAGCAGATGTTGCGTTAAAATTGAAATTTTTAGTTTCAGCTACTGTGAAACAAATTTGGAGACACCTGGTCCTGGTCACAGCTGAATAAATTCTATGACACTGTGTGCTATGGGACTGTGCCAGGTCTTAGTGAGATAAGCCAAGAAATAGGAGCGATGTGCCCTGGAGGAAGAAAACACTTATAGACCAATTTTCTCTGCTACTTGGAAGAGCTATAAAATAGGGAGGGTAATCAAAGGAAATAAAATTTTTAAAAGTTACTACCATAACACTTCTCAATGAAATTCAGATAAATGTCAAAGAGAACTCACTTAAGATTTAGCCTTGATAACTGTGGGAATATATTTCATTAAGTTAGAAACAACTTAAGAGTTAGGCTGCTTCAAACAGCCTAACTAGAGTAGCGATGATGGCACCTTCACTAAAAACATCTACTTTGGGAGTTTTAATTTATACCATTATACCATTTTAATAAAGTAACATCTTATGAAGATGTGTGTCAGCCTCCTTCCTGAAGAAGCAGAATCCAGAACAGCTCAGAAGTGCTCCTGGGTTAATTTCTGATCTTAAGAAAAGCCAACCCTTGCAGGAGAGCTCATGGCCTATAATCCTTGAACTCTGGGCAGCCGAGGTGGATGGATTGCCTGAGCTCACAGGTTGAAAAACAGCCTAAACCAGAGCAAGACTTCATCTCTAAAAAATAGCCAGGCGTTGGACGGCACCTATGGCTCAAAGGAGTAGGGTGCCAGCATCATATGCCAGAGGTGGTGGGTTCAAACCTAGCCCTGGCCAAAAAAAACACCAGGCATTGTGGTGGGCGCCTGTAGTCCCAGCTACTCAGGAGGCTGACGCAGACATAGGAGAATCCCTTAAACCCAAGAGTCTGAGGTTGCTGTGAGCAGTGACACCAGAGCTCTCTAATGAGGGCAAAAAGGTGAGACTCAAAAAAAGGATAGAAAATACATAAATGTGCATGCCTGTGTTTCAAAAAAACTAAACAGCAGCAGTTAGCCTTTAGATTGTAGTTTGTTGACACCTGGACTAGATAATAAAAAAAAAATTTCAATGGCTTAAAAAAGAAACTTATAATTCATTCATAGGGGTCTGCAGGAAATTTACTGATGATTGACTTTCAGGAATTCAGAATTGTGGGCAATCACATGCTTTCTGTGATCACTGAAGCAGAAGACAGAGACGTAGCAAATCCCACACTGGCCTCTAAAACTTCCACCTGGAGGGCGGCGCCTGTGGCTCAGTGAGTAGGGCGCCAGCGCCATATACCAAAGGTGGCAGGTTCAAACCCAGCCCT